TGCTATAAGTATAAAAGAAATGCTAGTTAGTGGTGGTGGTGGGGTGGTGGCGGTGTTCCACATCAATTTTTGTCTTCCTTCAAAGATTGAAATTTTTTCTTTAAACACTTCTTAAAACTGGTCATTTTTAAGGCATCTGAAAGAGAGAGCGCGCTAGTGAACTTATATGCAAGAAACGTTTCCCGCCAAAAGACTTAGAAAAATTTGACTCAAGAGTATGATACGAAACGCGCATGCGTAAGTGCAAAGTTGTACCACAAGGATGGCGTCTCGAAACTCTTGCTATAAAGTATAAAAGAAATGCTAGTTAGTCGTGGCTAGCGGGGAGGTGGTGTTTTTCCATATAATGTTTTGCTTTCCGTCCAAGACTTTTATCTTTGGCCTTTCTCCTTATTGGTCATCTCTATGGCGTCTGCAAAAGAATAGAACACACAAGTATTTCCCGCTGGAAAAGATATAGTTCTCTATTGAAGATTTCACAATAAAAATATTCTAGTAATCAACTTTATGTCCAAATTCACCATGAAAGGCTTCGACCAGTTAAAATCTGTTTTATCCTGTACCTTAACGTCGGTTAATCCTTGTCGAGTTTTATTGACGTGAATACTTGTCAATATTTACTGATTTACATAAAACTGATAATAAAACAGCAAGTAGTTGCTTATTGACCCTTGCTTTTTAACTCAAACTTAATATTTTTTGTCAGCGATTTTAAATTTGATGTAAGCTTGAATCAACTAAATATTTTGGTATTAACGAGGTCAAATTAAGCATAACTCAAATATTCAAATGCAGAGTAAACAAGTTAACAATACGACTTACCTCAAACTCACAGACAAATAACGAAGGAACTTTCCCGATAGCGAGCAAAAGGTTCCCAAAGCCATTTTCTCAAACTTGGAAACTGTTCGCTGTTGATACCTAAACGAAACAAAAAGAATAAAAATATTTTACTCTTATCCGAATAATAAAATAAAAATAGAAGGAGAAAGAATGAACGCAAATACGATGCAAATTGCGCCGTTCGCTGCTCGCGGTAAACACATCTATTACATGTTCTTTTGCACAAAATGCGGCTTCACTGATTGCAATAAACTAACTTTAAAAATACCAAAGCGCAAACAACCAACGACACTGTCCTCTTCTCTATGACCGTTAATGATAAAATTCGTTTATCATAAAATTTGGACAGGTGTAAAAATAACAAATCTATAATTACTTGGATGTTCTATGGCCTACATACGCGTTTGGGTCTGGATAAGTAAGATCTTTTTCAATGAATGGTCTCGAGATGAAATGTCACCAAAAAAACATTCGCTACAAAAGTAACATAGTGTACACTGCTTACGTTCCACCAGCTGACCATAATGCGCGTTCAAAATTGGTATGTATTGCTACTCAATTTGTCTACGCATTCTGTGTCAAAGCCGGGTGGCGCAGTGGTTTGGTGCGCGCTTCACACAGTGCAAAGCGTCGGGAATCCTGCTCCTAACGCACATAAGAACTTTTTTTCTTACAAACAGCAATAAATTGACTGAGCCTTCCGTGCCTTAGATATTTGTAATAGATTTTAGTGTATCCTAAACGCTTATATTGAAGGAATAGGGCAAATAATTTATCTGCCAATATATACCTTTTGGCCAACCAAAGACGTATACCTCCTATATCATCTATGGACTGGAAATGACGCCGACATGGCTTCAACCGGCGCCACGAACTTTTTTAAGGGTTCGAGAGTAGCTCGCGGCGATGTTCTTTTTGTACGACATTGTTTTCTCTAAAACATGTGGCTGACGGTTTCATTAAGGGCCGGGCACCGGGCAAGTTGACCGGCCACGAGTATGATTTTTACCCGCCTGGTTTGACCACTTAGAGCAAATAAAGAAGTTCAGTTTTTCCCCGCCTGTGAAAACCACTTGCCCTTCTGCTGAAAACGTTGATGAAACCCCTGGCGTTTCATTATGACAAAAATTCGTTTTATCCAAGTTCACTAATGACAGTAGACATGATGATGATCTCAATGATCAAAAACGTTTAGTGGATATAGCTTAAACAGCTTTTTACCTGGAATGTTTTTACTCCAGAGACAGCTGTCTTTTTTCTTAGCTTTTCAAACGTTCCCAGACATCCTAGCGCCGAAAGCTGGTGTCCAGTCTCCCTGACGTTAATTTCTGTGCGGTCAAGTTCTTTGCCTTTGCTCCTGTTTCGCGAAAACACTGTGGGGAAAAAAACGCATTTCTTTTCTGTTAAATGGACAGAAGCAGTAAAGGAAGCAATGTATGAAGGGGAAAAAGAAGTAATCGACCGTTTATGAACAATTATTGGATTAGGTTTTTGTGATATCCAGAATAATCAAGGTCGAGGCAGGGGTTATCAGCCGAAGCTGAAGGCTGAGGCTGATAACCCTTACCGAGACCTTGATTATTCTGGATATCACAAAAACTGAATCTAATAATTGTTGTATTACATACATTGAACGAAAAAAAAAACTGTCATGTTTTTGCTTCTTCACTGTCGGCAAGCAACACAAAGCGCACGAACTTGACATGCATGATTACCCTCAGAAATCATGCATCGCGGTCATACATGACATGAATACCCGTGACCTTGAGTGTCATTGACCTGACTATTGTTTAATCTGCAGCTACATGACGTCACAGGCGCTGATTTCGAAAATTCACTACACGCTTTCGGGCAATCAGAAAAGAGATAGTGAGTTCAATATATAATAAAGAGAGTAATCTGTAAGCAAAGTTAAAACTGGTATCAGACCCTTAAGTGAAAGAGCGAAATGCGCAGAAAGGGTAAGCAAGCCGGCTATAGATAAATTGGGATAGATAAGTATTCTTTGGAGATAAAACGCTTTACCTCAGTATTTGGTTGTAGTTTGTTTTGCATTTGCCTTGTTGATTTTTTGTTTGTTTTTTTTTTTTTGGAGCCGAGGGTGATAAAGACCAGTCTTTTACGAAAAGGATAGTGGCTTGTCTGCACAGGTGCACTTTATCTCCTTTCCCAGTCCCTCTGCATGTTTCTGCATCAACCTTTAACGTAACTAGCGTTCAAAAGCTTCTATAACATAGCGCGAGCGCTAGTCCTATATATATTGAGCCATCATGAACAAAATCTCTATGTACGTACGGCTGTGCGTAGATAAGATGACGCGTGCAGTTTCAATTTAGCTGCAAAATTTCCGTCGAGTTTAGTGCAAGTTCCTTTTGTTTGAGTTTCGGCAATGTCAAGATTATTCTGAACAATCCAAACTCTACTTCGAGCCTTTGACTTTTCGGCAAGCTAAGATATTTACTTACACCTGAGTATTTTGGCTTTGGTTGTTTGCTTACATTTTCATTATAATTAATTCGAAGAAGCGAATTTTTCGTTGACAATTTTAGAAACCAGGTTAAGCGTTTTCGTTCAACCGTTGCTCAACTTATTGTGGCGTGTAAGGATCCTAATGACCTTTGTTTTCCTTCACGGTGCATTGTCAGAGCTTTGTAGTCAATCACAAATAAAATATGTTTTAGCGCCCAAGTTGTTGTCGCCATATTATAAAAGAATTGGTTCATGCTTTTAGCTGTGCGTATATCGAGTTATGGATGCACGTGGGAAGTTTGGAGAGCACTCAAGAAACCAGAGTTGCTCTCGGCTGTCGCCTCGAGCAACTCTTACGCTTCTTTCGTGCTCTCCAAACTTCCCGCGTGCATCATAACTCGACATACGCACGCTAAACATGAACCAATTCTTTAATAGATCATCCACGTGGGATGTCAGCTATGTTTGATTTATGTTTAGTTCGCTTAAGTATCGCACTTGCGAAACCAAAAATTCGCGGGCGTCCCAAAACGAAACGATAATAAAGACGAAGGTTACTGTTAAATTCTTAAGCAACATGTGTCTCCAGCCGCTGGTTCAGTCTTCTGGGAACGGTTACTTAAATGGTGATTTACGGTTACCAAGGTAAAGCTTAATCAAGATGTTAGTTTCTATGCAGTAGTATATTTTTCAGTGGTAATGTTTTTGGTCAATTTAACGTCGGACAAAGTCAAAACTGGAAAAAAAAAATTATATAAAAAGACGATCTCACTGGAAATTACGAAACGAAACCTGGAGACGGTTAATCGAGCTTTGAATGACTGGGCCCTCAAGTCTGGTAGAACGAACTCCTTATCTCTCTGAGGCCATTGCATTTCCATCTTTCTAGTAACAAGTGAGCCAGCGAAGCGTGCGCGCTAGAGACTGTCCATGTGGATCGGGCGAAAAAATCGAACACTTGCGTTCGCACTCCTTCTATCTCGTGTCTTCATGCTATCCCTCGTCCATTAAAAGAAAACAGAACATCTCTAAACTGACCAACGAAAGAAAGCCCTAGATCTTCATTTAAAATAAGTCCGATAATGTTCCCTACTCACCGATTAAGTTAACTTCTGTATCCCTCACGTTTGGTTCAATTCATCCTTGACTCCCTTTAACAAAAGATGGAAAACTGCGGGAAAAAAACCCGCGGTGAGTTGAAAATAATACACGAGCACAAACAAGGAACGTTAAGTGCTCTCCATAAAGTGAATGCAGACAGTCCCGGAATAAGTTCTTATTCCACAGGTACGTTACTTTACCCATACCCGTAAAAAGCATGCAGACAGTCTAATTCTTCCTAAACAAGTCTTTTTATCTTGAGCCGGCAATTTGGATGTAGGACCAGTCTATGCTTCACAGATTAAGAAACTCAGGAAGAGAATTTGCAGGGTGGAACTAGCTCCCTTGTTGGCCAGTTCTTACACCCAATATCTCTTGTACAAAGCTCAAGATCCATTCAGCACATGCAGACAGTCCAATCGTTCCGATACATTTATTTTTTTATCTTCTGCCGGCAATTTGGATGTAGGACCAGTCTATGCTTCACAGATCAAAAAACATAGGACCGAAGAGATTTTTAGTGGTAGATTCGACTCCCTTGGAAGGTCAGTTGTTACGTATATATACTCTGTAGAGCCCATGCGGACAATCCAGGTTTTCCTAAACAAGTTTGTGTCGTGATCGATTTTGTCAGACCAGTCTGTGCTTTACAGAGCACTGAGATAATCCAGGAGCTGATAGAATCGCTTTTTTTTAAGACGTTCGTGCTAATTGTTTCTGCGCATCCTTACTGCGCACGCAAATTCACACGCTACGTCA